GGGGGCGAGGAAGGGGGCGAGGGGCGAGGAGGGGGGAGCCGAGCCCGGAGCGCAGCCTTGCAGCCATGGGCTGGTCTTATTTTGCAGAAGTGGGTGTGCCAGGGAGACAGCTCAACAGGTCTCGACACATTTCTCTGAAAACTATACTTAGCAAAGGAGAATTTAATGTAATCCAGCAGTTTTAAGTATTGGCAGTTTTTTTCCTCCTTTGGGCAGACTCTCAGAGTCTGAATTTTGACACGTTTCCTACGCTGGATGCTTTGCTGCTTTCTTTTTCTTTTTAATCCGACGTTGGGGAAATTGTCAAACAAAATAACAACATTTTTCCTCCCCTTCACGTTAAAAAAAAAAAAGAAAAAAAGGCAAAACTGTGGGTAGACAGATGCAGTTATTTTTCCCGACTCTGTTGTGGTGTCCACCTTAAACGGCCCAGCAGTATTTCCCTGCTGTTTGCAATCCGTGAGATGATTTTGGGGGCCCGGGTGACAAGGGGCTGGTGGCAGCGTGGCCGTGACCCAGGAGACCCAGCGAGCACGGGTGAGGGACCCCGTACCCAAATCGGCCGTGCCAAGCGGTGTCCAAGGGCCAAGAAGAGCTTTGGCGTTGAGCTGCCCTGCTCCGGACGCCTTCGCCCAGGCCAAAGCTCGCTGGGGCCACCTTAAAATTTATACACGTGGGGACTTCTTGTTGATCGCAGCCTTAACTTTGGCACACAGAAAACAGCAGCGCTGGTCGCGGTCTGGAGAAAATGGGCGGCGGGGCTGGCGGGTTTATAATTAAGACGACCGTAAAGTTGTTGTGAGCGCGCTCGGGTGGCTCTGTTTAATGGGTAATTCTGTGGCCAGGCTTCGGCTTGGGCATTTACGGGCTGGGGGGCAGCGAGAGCTGAGCGCTGTTTGCCGTAGACAGACAGCGTAGAAAGTTTGCCCAAGAATTTACAGTTATTCTCCAAATATTTATGCTCTGTGCTGAAAACAAATGTGGTAAATACAAACAGATGAAACTTAGGAGGTTGTTTTTCAGCGTTAGATGTGTCTGGAGAATGATCATGAGCTGTTAAAGTGTTGGAAGCTAATAAAAACCCCCTATTTTTAGTTAGCTTTTATTTATAAATTAGAGATTTATTTAAAGAATGGAGTGTATTTTGGGATTCATGAGCTGTATTTTAAGCTGAACCTATGCAAAGACAGCAGAATTCCTGTTTTGTGGTGCAGCTCCCGGCCATAAGAAGCCACAGAGATTTCGGCTGTCGTGTTTGCGAGGCGGCTCGGAGGCTTTGGTGCCTGTGGTGGGTGATGGTACCGAGCCTGCAGGGAGAGGGAACTGGCGAGTGTCCTCCTCCCCTGCCCAAGATGTAGTTAAATACCTTCCAAAATCTTGCAGTTTGGGCGCTGTAACAAATCTCACGCTTCCCTCCTTGCCAGGAGGGGTGGCAGAGCTGGAGAGTGCTCGGAAGACGGCTGGTGCTGTTGCATGCAGGCAGACTTATCGCTCCGTCCAGGTTTAGCAAAGCTTTGAGAAATACACTTCCTTGTTACCAGTCAGAAATAAAACCAGGCAGACAAATAACCCAGCGCGGGGGGTTGAGGACGCTGCCACGCGTCTCTTCGTCGCTCCGTTTGCCGCGTGTTTATTCTGAGCAGCTAAACCAGGTTCGCCAGGCTAATGATTTAGAGTATTTTTTTTTCTTTAAAGCTGTTATTAAAATACCCTCGCCGCGCTAACTTTGACCGCCTCTGATCTTTTTATAGCTGATGTTGGAGTAATGGAGTCCAAAGAATTGCTGAACTCGTCGGATCCGGACGACGCGAGGAAGAATGCGCTCCTCGGTACCAAAGCGGGGCTGGTGATGGACTTTCACCCACCCCTCAGGGGTGGAGCTACTGCACCAGCCCCTGTGTCTACATCTCCCCTGCCCGCGCCCTCGCAGTCAGGTTCCAGCCAGCCGCCCGCTTTGGCCGACTTTCCGAAGGGGTTAGCAAACAATGTGCCTCAGCCAGACCTGTCCAAGGCGGTGTCGCTCTCGATGGGACTGTACATGGGGGAGACGGACGCAAAAGTGATGGGCAACGACCTGGGATTTTCGCAGCAGGGCCAGATCGGCATCTCCGCCGGGGAAACGGACTTCAGGCTCCTGGAGGAGAGCATCGCCAGCTTGAACAAGTCCTCCGGCCTGGCCGAGGACGCCAAGGGAGCGGCGTCTTCTGCCGAGGTGCCGCTGGAGCCGGATTTCCCGGGCATGGCCGGCCGCGGCGTCCCGCTGGAGTCAGGGCCTGCGGTCCAAAGCCAGGTCGGCTCCAACGGCGGCAACTTGAAGTTATTCTCTGAAGACCAAAGCACCCTGGATATCCTCCAGGATTTGGAGTTGCCGCCGGTGTCGCCGGGCAAGGAGCCCAACGGGAGCCCGTGGCGGCTCGACCCCCTGCTGGATGACGGGGGCTTGCTGTCCCCTATATCTGCAGATGATGCCTTCCTCCTGGAAGGGAACCTGGGCGAAGACTGCAAGCCTCCTATTTTAGCTGACACTAAGCCTAAAATTAACGACCGCGGTGACCTTTTACCCAGTTCCAAAATGCCAATGCCTCAAGTGAAAACGGAAAAGGAAGACTTCATTGAACTCTGTACTCCTGGCATAAAGCAAGAAAACATGGGCCCAATTTACTGTCAGGCCAGCTTCTCGCGGTCTAATCTGCTGGGCACCAAGGTCTCGGCCATATCCATCCACGGCGTCAGCACCTCTGGGGGACAGATGTACCACTATGATTTAAATACTGCGTCGCTCTCTCAGCAGCAGGATCAGAAACCCATTTTTAATATCATTCCATCTCTTCCTGCCGCCTCCGAAAATTGGAATAGATGCCAGGGATCGGGGGATGAGGCGCTGGCTCCTTTGGGAACGCTCAGCCTCTCTGGCAGACCTGCTTTCTCTAATGGCTACTCAAGGTAATTCGGTTTTGCTGCTCTTTATTAAAACACCGCAGACAGGTTGAGCGCGGCTGCTCGCGTGCTGGTTTGTGGGGTTGTTTTTTCCTTTCGAAGTCACTCATTTCTCTTCCGTTTGCCTTGTGGCTGCCTGCTCAGACGTCGCCGGCGTGCGTTTATTCCTCAGGATGATAGTGGCTTTAACTGAGGAGTGGCATTAAAGGGAAGGAGAGAGGAGGGCAGCTGGCATGCCTTAAAGAGAAAGGAAAGGGAAAATTCTAAGCTACAGCCGAGAGGGAGAACGGAGTAGGTGGTAAAGGGTCCGTACAAACAGCGGCACAGGAGGAAGCATTTCAGTGTATGCAGGAGCTGCTTCATCCCCAAGGGTTGGAGGATCAATCGCTGCTCGGTGTTTTTTGTTGTTGGGGTGATTTTTATTTTCCTTCCTCGCGTAACTTCAGCGTTCCGCACAAAAATAACTTGGTTGCTGGGTAAATCTCTAGGGTTGCGTTTAAGCTGAGCTGGAGTTTTAGCTTTGCTCGGTGTTGCATTTGCCTTACATGGCCAAGGAGATTCCGGGTGGGAAATACTCAGCAGTCCGGTTGATAACTGCGGTCGAAGAGATAAGGGTATTTGCAGTACGGTTCAGGCGTACCTGGGGTTTAACTCTCAGACGGAGCTGGAGGAGGGCTTGCGTGCGGGGGTTTTCTGGTTTTCCTTGGCTCTCTGTTGACAGGCTCGGTGCTGGTGCAGAACGAGGGGTTTGCCGGGTTTCCGTGCAGAAAGAATAGGTAGAAAATAGCTAGAAAACAGAAAATGGCTCTTCCAGTCCCTCTACATCAACCAGCAGTTGCAGGGTTCAAATGAAGTCTGGATTTTAACTTGGTTTTGGCCTGCGCCCGTTGGTCCCAGAGCGCAGTCCCGGGGCTCTCCCTGCGCGGCGTCCGCTCCGCTTTCCCACGGTCGGGATGAGGTGTGCGGGGATTTCGGCTTTGTTCGGGAGGGCGGCTTTGAGCCGTTCTGCGCTTCTGCCGTGGGTTTTGGTTTCTGTGCCGGAAATGCGCTTTGTTTTCAAAGCAGTTTGTGATGTAAGGAACCCAGAAGGGAAAACGGGAATTTGCGGATGAATTCCACTCTGGTGTGTGAATATTGAACGTGCCTTACCTTTTACTTTGGCCGAGCGGAAATCCTTTGTGCTCGCCTTGCTCACAGTCAGCCCAACTTCTGCCTTGTTTTTAGCATCTTTCGTGGGGGTTTTCTGGGGTTTTTTATTCGCCGTATCTTTAATGGCAGCCATTATAAAATCTGTATCAAAGCAGACCTATTTCTGGGGCTGGGGAGGTGAATTTCAGCAAGCAGATTCCTCACAGATAACGGAGACATCACTTTTGAGAACGCTTCTGGAAAGTTCACGCCCTGTTTCTATTTCGCAGCCCTGTTTAGGTGGACGCCTTCATGGGTGCATGGCTCACGTGGAGCTGTTTGGCCTTTGGGGGCTTTTGTGGACGCCCGTTTCACACCCTGTGTTTGATAACGTGGGGATGAAGAACCCGCTGAAGATCCTGGTGCGGGCAGGTCCCGTGGAGGGAGGAGCAGAGCGGTGCTCAGTGTTGCTGTGCTGTCCTGGAGCCGTTTTGGGCAGCGGCGGCGGTGTTTGGGCAGCGCCCTCCTCCTCAGCACCCTCCTCAGCACCGCGGGGGACCCAGCCTGCGGCCCTGGGCAGCGTGAACCACGCGGGGCCGCGGCCGCCGAGGCTCCTCTTCCTGCAGCAGTGTCTTGTTTTATTGCTTTTTATTTCCCCCCTTCATTTAAGGGCTGTGTAAAGAATTTTGGGGTGGCTCCTAGTTGAGTTGCGTATAAGAAGTCAAAGCTGTTCTTCCTTCCCAGGGGTTTTTACACACTGCAACTGCCGGGTCCAGTTCTAAAATTGGGTTTGCTTTATTCTTTTTTTCCCCCATAGAACAGAGGCAACTCCATTTTGGTTTTGAGCTGTTTGAGGCAGTAATGAGCCCTGGTTTGGAGCAGGAATTCTCCTTCTTCCTGAACCGTGTCAGAAGTGTTTGGTCCTGGCTGGGTTTGTTTCAGGGGATCCTGGATGTGTTTGTTTATTTGCAGAAGGTTTGGCAGCACTGGCGTTTGTTTCACAGACAAAGCGAGGGCCGCTTGGGGTTGGGTTTTGGGGGTTTTTACTTGCGGGTACCGATTGGGTGGCGTGAGGGCTGGGATATCGAGGATTCAGAGTTGCTAAATTTCAATTTCCAGCAGGAAATACTTCTTGGTGTTGGTGAATTTGACTATTCATAAAATACTAATGATGTATTAAACGGGGGGAAGAGAAGCTGCTGTGCTGCCCTGGCGTCCGGGCAGCGGGAAGCACGCGGTGTCTCCTTACAGACACACGGTCTTGAACGGATGTCATGCGATTTTGGGGTGATTTTGCGTCCGAGGCCAGCACAGCGCGCTGCCTTTAGCGAGAGGTGCCAACCAGCACTGAGCAGAGCGATCCACGTCCTGGGAACGGCAGGAGGTGCTCTGAAGTGAAGCAGGACGTGAGCGTCAGAAGCGCGCTGGATGCGCACGGCCTGCGGTGGCCGATGAATCGCTGACTGCACTGGGGGCTGTGGAGGACCCTCACTCTGCTGGTGCTGCTGTGCAGAACCTGGAGCTGCACGTCTGCACCCCAAATTCCTCAGGACGGCTTCATTTTGGGGTCGATCTGGAGCCAGCGAGCTGCGATGGATCCCAGTGGAGCACACAAGGGGGGATAGGATGAGAGGGAGGAGAAAAGCAGGTTAACGGAGGCGTTTTGCCCTAAATTTCCTTTAGCAGAAGAAGTGAAGCAGTGGTTGGCACAGGCCGAAAGCATTTGGTAAAGGCTTCGCTGCAGAATTAGGAGGTCTGATGGTGTCTGTCTCTGATGGGATATTATTTGATTTATCGCACAGACGCCAGCGAAAACTGCTAAGTTTCAAGGAAATGGTTTTAGCAACGCGCACTTGTAGTGCTCCTGCGTGGCAGATGCATTAAATCCATCGCTCGTCTCTGTTTTCCCCCGACTTCCTGGAGATGTGGCTCGTTTTGGGGGAGCGAGGAGCCTTTCTGCGCAGCCAGAGCTCACCAGAGCGGGCCCCTTGGCAGCGCGGCGGCGGCTCCTGTTACATGGAAATCGCTGCGAGCGCTTCAGCGGGTGGGGGATAAGGACCATTAAGGGAGTTTAGGAAAGGGCAAGAGCCCAGAGGAGCCGTGAAGGAGGAGCATCTGGAAGGGGGAAGAGGGTTTTTTGGCCGGTCGCGGCCCAAAGCCGTGCTTGCAGCAGTGACCTTTCTGCTGTCGCTTTAACTGGGAGGATTCTGGGGACGTGTTACTCGAAGGAAAGAGGGGGAAATAGCGGTTGTTTTTTGGGAGCAGTAAAGGTCAGCTGTCCGTCTGTCTTGCCACCGTGTTTCGGGCTGGATTTTGGCCAGGGCCGGTGGCTTGGCAGGGCTGGACGCAGCACTCGAAGCGCTGCCTGACTCAGCGGTGGACGGCACACACGGAAATGCCTCTCTTCGTGGTTCTCTTTGGGTACGAGACCCAGCCTGGTTATCTGGAGGGACATCAGTGGTGCGTGTTGGGGTTTGTCAGCTTGATGTAAATGCTGTGCTCGGGGTTTGAGTCCTGGAAACACACAACCAGAAAACCCCAATGATTTTGGCAGAGAGGGGTGAATGGGGAACGTCTGTAGGGCGCTGTGGGAAGGCAGGGGTAAAGGACAGGTCATGCAGGTACCCCGCTCTCCCCAGTTGTAGCTGATCCCCATAGGCGAGTCCAGCCCAAATAGTTAATTTCTGCTGATTTATTTCCCCCTGATGTTTAAACCCAGCTTATAAAATAGAAGTGGGTTTGTTGCCCGTTGCATTCTTTTCTCCCTCTGCAACGGTTGAACCCCATTGTGCTCTTGCGCTGGCAGCGAAAACAAAACCAGAGTTGAACCAGCTCTGCTCGCGGATCCTCGTCAATGTGAAGCGGGCGCATTGCACAACTCCACGTCGTCTCTTTACTGTGCTAAAGATGATTTACGCTGCAAGCTGTCTTGGGATGCAGATGCCACTGCTTGCTCTGCCTGTTGCTGCTCGCCGCGGTGACGAGCGAGTGCCTGACTGCTCCGTGCGTGTGTGGCACTGCGAACTGCCGTTCCTTCTGCTCTAAAAGGCTGCCAGTCCTCCTCTCCTCCCAGGTCCCCTTTCGTAGCCACCACCTCTGGTTCTGTGTTAATTTTTTTGGTAAGTCGCCTGACTTCAAGTAGTGCAGATCGCAGAGGAAGAGCCTGGCGCTGCTGCGGTGGATGTGGCGCTTAGGGCAAGGGTTGCCTGGTTGTTACGCTCGGAAAATTGGGCGTTGCTCTGCTTCCCACTCCAGGCCCGGTATCTGTCAGCGGTGGCAATGCTTGACCTGGTGGGGTTTTGGGGCAGGCGCCGCTGCTGTGCGGTTGGCGCGATGGGGAAGGCGCCGCTCAGCGGAGCTCTGCTCTACTGGGGTGGCTGCAGAGATTTCAACTGCGCTCCTTTACGTTTTCTTTCTCGTTGATGTGCATCAAGGAGGAACGCTTCTTATCCCCTTATCTGTTGTAAGCCGGTCATAAAAAAAAAGCTGATAGATAGTTTATTACTGTTGTTAGGTTTTTTTAGTAGCCTCCGTGCTTCCTTTTGGAGCAGTGAGGATCCAGCTCGGCCCTGCAGAGCCAGCTGGGATTTGGAGCCTTTTCCTTGGGCCGTGTTGTCAAATCAATCCCTTTGCCATGGGTCCGAGGAGCGGCCGTTCCCACCCCGCTGTGTGCTGGGACCAGCGGCTGCTCCACAAGCGGTACCAGAGGAGAGAGTGCTCAGCAGTGAGCCTGGGAGCACGTGCACGTCTGTTTCTGGATGCAGCTTTTCTCTTCCCAACCCTGGCCTGTGGAATATCACGGCCCCAGCCATATCTACCTTCATTTTTGGGAGGTGAGGGCATCACTGTAGCTGTAGCTCGACATACCCATTCTGCAGTGGTCCTAGCGTCGTTATTCTTGAGAGGACTC